CTGCAGGTGGTGAGCCCACAGGAGGACGTCCCCACGTCACTCGTTCGGGCTAAGCCCGGCCGGGCCCCGTGGGGGGAGGCCCGGCCACCAGGCGCTCGCATTCGAGCCCCAACCCCGGGCCTGGCTCCCGGGTGGGGCCCCGGCTGCGCCATGCCGGGCGACGTCATGGGACTTGATGTTAGTCTATTCATAAGGGGCTTTTGAACCGCTCTTAGTCTGACCCGTCACCCAGGACCTGTTTGCCTTGGGAGACCCTACCAGGGACATATAGCCCCCGACAACATAGCTCCTAGGATCACTCGGGTACTCAAACCCCTCCACCACAATAAGGTGGCGGTTCAAGGAGGGGCGAAAGGATTTTAATTTTGTAATTTGGGGGAGCCGACCTTTACTATGTTCACAATGATTCATGCCAGAACTCCTGTGGGGGTTTCTCAGCATCAGAGCCTCCACCTTATCAGCCTTATATGTATTACATTAGTGAATGTGACCTGTCTGTGTGAAGCCTTCACACTGTCATGTGATGTCAGATGTTATGATGTGGCCGATCGTCAGAGCTTCATACACAGGATCCCGTTTGTTTTTTGAACCAATGAATAATGAACCTGCAGAACATGTGACCAGTGTTTATGCTGCTTCTGTGTGTCTGGTTTTCTGGTGATCAGATGTCATCAGTGTGTGGCTCTCTTCATCCAGAGGCTGCTTTAGGGTTAGTTATGAGTGTCTGTGACTATGTGCATATGTGTCTTCTCCCCCACCTCCGTCTGTTTGTCCGTTCTTACATCTCTGTCTCACTCTTGCACTGTCTGTCACACTGTTGATGATAAAAGGAAGCACTAGCAGAGGAGGGATGCATATTGGATGAGATGGGGGAGGGAGATGCCAATTTAGGAGAAAATGTCTTCTCTGTAGATGTGCACACGCTCTTTGGTGTCTGGGATTGTGTCTGTGTGCATCTGCATGTGTGTCTGTTTCATTTCCCTTGTGTGGGTGTTTGTTGCTCCGTACTGTATTTTGTTGGCAGTTCACAGTTTGATGGCACCTTTCTGACGACACCAGACAACTTCTGACATGTTTAGACTAGTGCGTATCCCCATAGTCAACAAATCAATTATTCAGTCTCAAGCAGCCATTTTGATATGGAGCTTTATCTTATTGGGAAAGTCACTAATGGTAATTAAGATGTTTGTTTTACTGGAATGTCCTGGCCAAGAAGTCTATAAGTGGTCACCAAAAAATGAACTGGAAACAATTTTTGTATTCAGTCAATTAAGTATTTTTCTTTAAAACACAAATCCTGAAAATCCACTGGTTGTAGCACTTCACACAGTGCATGTGAATATGTGCATTGCTGCAGGTTTTCAATTAGCATTTTCATTGGTTTTGGACATGTTTTAAACTAAATGGTCACTCTGTTAATTGCCAAAATAACCGGCAGATGAATTAATAAACGCAAATAACAGAATGTGAATGACTGATGAACTTATAGAATAATGAGGGATCAATACAAAGGTTCGAGTTAGTTGTCCGAGTCATCACCAAACATTTGCTGCTTTTCTCTGATTTTATAAGCTGAATGTGTTTAGTTTGTGGACCAGAAGCAATTTGGAAATGCCACCTTGGGCTCTGGGAGTTGATGGTGGGTGTTTTTTTGCCATTTTCTAGATAATTAACTGATAAAATCAATGAATAATCACCAGTTTCATAGATAGTTGGATCCAATCGGTCACAAAAATGTCAAACTTAATCTGGAACAACACTGCAGCGACTGCAACCTCTGGAGGTTTTAGTACTTCACAGTAGAGTGTGGAGCTTCCTTTGTCACTGAACCTCCATCTCTGTTAAACTGTTTTTATTTCCCACAAGTTACTGTCCCAGAACAACGCTGGTAGCATTTAAAGCTCTACAGTGACACTTTGATTACACCTTTTAAATGTTACTAGTGTTGTAGAAGTGTCCTTCAAGGCATTAGCGTAACACAAAGTGTTAGTGGTTGTGGTCCTGTGCATGCAACCTGTGTCAAACACATCTCCGATACTGAACAAAGCTTCCAAAGATCTGACTCCTGCTTCTGATTGATGGCAAACATCATGATGTTGTGCATTTAATGCATTGAACAGTGGGGACTGTTTTGTCATTTGTGTGCGTAGGCAGGAAAACACTTCCCCCTAGTGACGGAGAACAGTTGAACTGTCACACTACGGAATCAGTTTTCCTCTTCAAGTGTTTTATACTTGGAGCTTCTTTCAGAAAGCATTGTTCTAATTTTAACTGCTACAGTAAATCATCAGTCACACTGTTTCTTCTGCCTCATATTTTGCAGAGGAGGAAGATCATTTTTTTGTGTGTGAATAAATATTAGTATAGCTTTTCAATCAGAAGTAGTTTAGGTATGAATGCAGCTGCAGCAGAAATAGACAAGTAAAGATAACAGTACTAAAGCAGACTAATCCTCCTACAGCCTGTTAATAGTGAAGTAATTCAAATCACTGGTATATTTTGTTCTTTATAGCTTTATGCAACATTACACGGGACATGCCAATAATTTAGACACTGTGGTGCTTATTATTCATTCATACCATATATAATGTATATATTGTACACACAGTGTTTTGTGCTTTTGTAGGCCAACAGCATCTCTGGGTATTTTATCTTTGTATGAGAGACCTTTGAACTCATTTCCATGTACAACAGCTGTGCACAGTTTGTGTGACTGAGTCTTACAGTTCCACTGTGTCTGTGTTTCTGCTCGTCTCTTGCAGGAGACACTGAGTGGTTGCCAGGTCAGGAGCTGCCTTTATCCCCCTGGGATCTGGTCAGAAAGCCTCTCAGCCAGTGCATCACCATCCGCCTCAAAGGTATCGAAACTTGCAGAGCTGAGCCGACACCAGAATCAGTGACCATCACTGATAAATGGCTGAAAGGACCTTACTTTTATAAAAGAAAAATAATCAGCTTATTCTAAAGTAATTTAAATTGATACATAATGTCACTGAGCAAATTACAACATCCTTCATATGAGGTCACAGTTGATCCTCTACAACAAAAAGTGTTTTAAAAAAACAGAACTGAACCAAATGTTTTTTAGGATAAAATTTTGTCTGAAGATGTGTAAGCATTTTAAAATGAACCAGAAAAGAGGTTGGACCTCGAGTTGCCAGAGAGCCAGCGTTGTTATTGATTATAGATGAGTCACAGCAGGGAGTCTCGCTCTGCACCTCTTCTAATAATCTGTCTTACTGGCTGCTGCTGCGCCTGTTTTGCTGCCCCCGTTGAATTGCTTTGTCTGCTGTATTTCTTGTCTTGGTGAGTCAGGACAAAGAGACTGAACTGTAGGCTGGCACCATGAAGATCAGGGCGAGCAGCAGCCAGGCTTTCGCTCCCTCTCTCTCTCCACTCGAGCATTGGCCCATTTTCTCCCTCTGCCTCTCTCAGCATCCTTCTCCATCTCCGCCTTTATCTCGGTTTTACTCAATTTCTCTCCGTCTTTATGAGCATTTTCCCTCAGACGACGTCACTTGCTCCCAGTATTCACAGGCTACCATTTGGAAAAAATGTATTATTGAATGAATGAACAGCCATAATACATTAATCAATTATTTATTGTCTCAGAAGAAGTTTAATTAAGAGTGAGTGTGTATAAAGAATATGTGGTGGTTGTTAGTCAAGCATGTTGTCCCCTGAGGTTTCCTCCTCATTTTCCTTTGGGTTCATCTTCTTTATCTCAGCTTGTTAAAATGTCTGGGAAGGTGACTCAAAATACCAAGGAAGACTTCTGGAAATGTCTGGAATTCAGTATCACGTACAGGGAAAATTAAGACTAGTGTATGCCTCCTTTTAATTGCTAGATTAATTTTAATTTTCAGTTGCACACGTGGGCTGAATGAGGTTTTCTGGAAGGAACTGTGCAGATTTTACAATGAACCAGCCTTGTCTAACATTTCAGAACAGTTTAGCTACAAGGGCACCTTGAGCTCTTCGTGTGTGATGTAACTGAGGAGCTGAAGTGTCTTCTGGTTGCTGACACCCAGCATGTAGAGTGGAACAGATTTGAGGATTTACTTGTGTGTGTGTTTTTGGCAGGTCTGTCTGAGTCGTGTCTTGATGAGCTGGCTTTGGAATCCCTCCTCCCCCTGCCGCTGCTGCACAACTACGTCCGCCTGGTAAGCAACTGCAGAGTCTGGCTGGGAAATGTATCACGGCCAGTTTGGGCTGCAACTGTTGTGTTATTAATGAATCCACTTAGTCAATCAATCATTTAATTTGTGTCAGAGATGATGGAAAGTGCACTCCATAGGCTTCACGATAGTTTAGTCTGATATAAAGCACAATCGGGTATTTTATTCTCAGTAACAGGAAATGGAATCACTATGGCAACACACATCTATTGTTAAGCTGTAACCAACAAATGTTTATCACTGTTCATTTTTATAGATCAGCTAATCGTTTATCACATTTTAATGTTGGAGGCATCACAATGTACTGTACATGTTACTGTAGTTCACACAGCAGCCTCCAGTTTATCCTCCATGTAATTCATCTGCCTGTTTTCATGTTTTCAGTTTTTCCTTAGACACACAGCTGCTCTACAGGACTTAGAGGCTACAAACACACACAGGCAGGAAAACTTAGACTAATATTTTGTACATTGTTACCCTCAGTTCTAGCATGACTTCTTCCAAAGAGTGCAGAATTAGAAACATCAGCATTACATGCAGCCATTTACTAAATGTCAGCTCAATAATTTACTCATCCACCTGTTTCTGTTTGTGTGCAGGTGGAACAGTATGGCACCCTCATCTTTCATGGGCTGGAGGGCAGCTGTCAGGAGTACATCGCCAGTCTGGTCGCTCGTTGCATCAAGGTACGTCCATCGGTCCACTGGTCCACAAAGCTGTGCTGCTTTGAGCCTCTCTCTCTCTCTCTCTCTCTCTCTCGCCTCACAGTTAAAAACTGAGTTTTGAAAAGACACCATGGGTTTCCAGATTTAAAACCAGACCAATGGGTGCTGCGTTAATCCAGTCAGGTGAAGCACAGGTTGGTGCCAGTCACTGCGCACAGCAAATCTAGAAATGTCTGTCCAAAGCGGATTCCTTCATGGTCCCACCCAACCACTGGACATTTTTCATCTCTGATTAGAAAGTTTGAGAAACTTGCACTGGCTCCCCTGTGGCTCAGTGTGATGTAATGTAGCAGAAATGAGATGCAACCTGTGACACATTGTATTAGTACAGCATGATGAAACCGGTCAGCCACTGGTGCATCTACTAACAAGGATGAGTTATACAATAGATCAACCAACAGCATTTGCATTTCCACATTTATTACTTGGCCTTAACAGTGTTAGAATCACTGCAGAGTTCAGTCTGAGGTGACACCACAGAAGGAATCTTATTCTGGTACAGTGGCTCTCACTGTGCATGTACAATGTTCTTCCATAAGGCAACGAGTAAACAAGAAGACGAAGAGAAAGATTGTGCACTAGGAAAATAAAAACATAGTACTTATAGAAATATAAACAGTTTAGTTTAAGGTTAGTTTTTCCAGATAGATGCAGTATATACACAGGCATCAGATGGTGGTTTTAACAAAGGCAGGAAGTCCGATACGCCCACATGAAGAAAACCTGGTCATATGAAATGAATAAAAAAAAGACCATTTTTTTTTTAGATTGTATTTCAGGATTATAATTTTAAACGTGTAATTCAGTGAATAATGCTGCGTTTAGACTGAATTCAGTCAGAATATACAGAATGTGTTGTTGCATCGTTTTAGTACACTTGTTACTTTTAGAATTTTTTTTCATACATATGAAAACATTTAAAAGGAATAAAGCAGGGATGGAGGGAAGATATCTGCAGGTCGGCTGCATTCTCCCTCATAGCAGCAATGTGCCTGGAAAAGCCCTTTCTGCTCATTCAAATTCTGCTCCATTTATTTTGGTTCATAGTAGTAGATTTCCTTTGTTTCCATGACAACATGCTCCCTTCTTAGCTCTGTCTCCTCACTCGTCTCCACCAGTCCAAGCAGGAAGTGGGGGGGCTCGGCTGTGACGTTGTAAGAGTGGAGGTGGAGGAGAGCCTGACCAAAGAGCAGCTGCTGGAGACTTTCACCACCTGTGGTAAGAAAACGTGCACAAGCACACATTTACGTTGAGGTGGGTCTTTCTACATATTTGTAAAGACAATTTTAACACTAGAAGAAAAGTGGTTGTAGTGTTACTGGGGCCACATCCAAATTTGGTTTGTCTCTGTCACTGTAAATAAGAAATAATGCCACTGTGAACCATCACTGTCCTGCTGGAAATCAACTCACTGCATGTGCACTTTAACTTTTTACTGATGTTTTAGTTACAAACAAAAATCTTTCCCTGACCCTCATACCTTTCCTTCGTCTCCTCTTCTGGTTGCAGGTTTTCTGGTTCCGGCAGTGGGTGTCGGGGTCGGGGTACCACCTGGTCCCACTGGTCGCTGTGTGGTAGTGCTCCTGGAGGGACTGGAGAAGGCTTCATCCCTAACAGGCCTGCTGGGAGACCTCTGCCACAGCCTGGACAACAGAGGCTCGGCTTCCCCTCTGATCCTGAACTCTGGTATGTCTGCCACCAGGCTCTGGATCTGACAAGACATACAGATTAAAGCGTCTGTGTGTGTAATTATTAGGTGATTGTTGCTTTAATGAGAACTTGGAGATTCCTCTGGGAAATCGGAACAGACTATGCCAGTTCCCTTATTTGATCGCTCAGTTTGGAAATTGTTCTGCTCCGCCATCTTGAAGGATGTCCCAGATCTCCTATTCATGCCCTGAGCAGCAAGGAGGCTGCTGGAGGAACCATGACACACTCACATTTGTTCATTGCATGTTTTCCTCACATCCAGTGTGGGAGGGGACAAAGACAAGGAGCAAGTGAAGGAAACATGGATGTAATTAAGGGAATTGGGATTTACCCTGATTGTTGCTTTCAGCTCTTCTGTGGTGCCCTCAACATTTATCAGTTGAGGGGACCACAGTTAAACGTCCAAACCCTGCACATCGGTGCTTTTTAGATCATCTCATTACCTTGAAGCATTTTTAAAGCGATGTAAAAAAAATCCAAAGCTGATTTATTTGTAGAGCAAAAGAGAAATTGTTAATATTGTCCACTACATGTTTAAGGAAGCTTTTAAATATATGCCACCTTTAGATATGGGTTGTCATATTAAAGAGGCGTTATCTAGGATTGGTATCTGATGTCACTGCTTTATGGCCAATAATACCTTGGTAAAGCCACAACAGAATCTGAGTAACTTTGTTCAACAAGTGCAGTAGTATTGGACACAGTGGTTAGATACTGTTAACTAGAACTTTGGGTTAAGCTGTCTAAGTGTTTTCTAAAACCAGATGACCACCAAACTAATTGCTGACTAATAGAATAAAAGAAAATTAACTTTTCTCTCTCACCTTGTTATTCATCCTTCAGGGCCCCACTGTTTCTGTGAGGGAAGCTTCTTGATTGGAACGCTGTCGAAGGCGCGGCTGCAGGGCTCCGAGCTCCGCCTCCAGCAGCATTTCCGCTGGGTGAGTCTTCGCTGGGACCAGGAGCCGCTGCATGGCCTGCTGGGAAGGCACCTCCGCAGGAAGGTGCTTCACAAGGTCAGCCAGAGATTTGGTTGTAGCTGAAAAAGAGAGAAAATTCAGTTTGTGGTGGAAATTCTGTTCAATGCTGCATTTCATCAACACCAAAATCACAACTTCCCAAACCATGAACATGTTGTTGTTAGTTTTCTTGCTGTGGTATTGTAAATTCAAAATGTTCCACCTCAAAGTATTTTCAGTAAATTTATATAAAGTATATTCTTGTATATTGTAGTTCTGTCCCCGGGGTTAACTTTCATGTCAGATGTTTTATCAGCAATATTAAAGCAAAAAGTGAAATATTTAATCTTTCCTCCCTCCATCTCTCGTCCAGGTGGGGACTGGAGTTTGGACACCTGATGGTGTTATGGAGCGGTCGGTGCTGTGGGTCAGCCAGGTTTGGCAGCAGCTCAATGCCTGTCTGTCCCGTCTGGGCACCCATGAGGCTTTGCTGGGCCCACAGCTCTTCCTGTCCTGCCCCGTGGTACCAAACAACGTGCATGCAGCTATCAGGTGTGTGTGAGTGAGTGAGTGGGGCTCATATAGTCCTAAGTAACTGCTGATATATTAACATCTGCTAGCAGGCTACATTAGCTAACATGTTAGCTGCTCTCTGGACCCAACAGTGAATACTTACAGTACCTGTTCCTTTTAGTAAAACACAAAGTATGAGAAGATGTCTGACTCGGGGTATGCCCTATGTGCACTCACCAGCCACTTTATTAGGTACACCTGTACAATTGTATGCAATTCAGTACAACACTTCCGCCTTAACATCTGTGTTTCTGGTGAAATTGTCATAAATGTATAAATTTATTATTGAGGTCATAGATAGAGGTGGTGGTGTACTAGGCTACATTACATTTAGGTGTTCCTAATACTCATGTAGGTAGCTGAGGAGGAAAAAAATACACACCTCTGAATATAATGTAGTCCAGTAGGACACCACCTTTAACTATGACCTCCATAATAAACATAATTAAATTTACACATTTATGACAATTTCACCACTTCCTTCCTACTTTTCTATTGGCAAAAAGGGGCTGCAGAACAAAATCTAGTGAATGGGTTTGGTACGTTGAGCATTTATAAAGTCAGGAGGCATGTAATCTATAAAGGCAACTTATTACATAGGACATTATAGATCAGTAACATACAATGATGCTCTCTTCTCAGTGTCAAAGATGGCCAGCCTACTTTCTAATATAATTTAAAATGGTGAGTCCTAAAGGCATCTCTAAGAAATCTAATAGCAGCATGATACACTGAGTCAAGTAGTTTCAGAGGCAGGCATATAAATTATATCAAATTAGTCTGTTACAGATAAAATTGTTGCTTGTACCAGCTGCCCCCTCTTAAAACAAATGTGTTTCTATAGAGAAATGAAAGTCCATCTGTATGTAACTGAACAAACGTACCCAATTTGGACCATTTCTCTTGTGTGACTACAAGGTTAGCACTTGAGATAACCACCTTGTAATAATGCGTGAACACTCCCCCAGGTGATTTTCCTATTCTTCTCATTTTGCTGAAATGTCAGAGCAGCCAGAAAAAACTTTTTACAAAAATAACAGAGGAGTAACTACATGGAAAGTCGGTGTGCTTTGAGGCTGATGTGTGTGTGTGTGTGTTCAGGTGGCTGGCTCACCTCTGGAACGCAGTGGTGGTCCCCCGCGTGGAAGAAGCCATCATCTCCCGGGTAACAGCCAGGCGCTCCTCCTCTTCGTCAGCCCAGCGACCATCTCCTAGCGACTGTGGGCTGAGCGCCGGGCAGCGGGCTGTGGTGAAAGCTGCCCTCAGCATCCTGGTCAACAAGGCTGTTCTCCCGGGCTGCCCTCTGAGTCGACATGGTGTGTGGGCAGTAGAGATGAAGAGGGTTCATTCACGTTTCACCAGCCGCTGTTTCAGTCATGAAGCATCTATTGAAAAACAGAATAGAAAAATTAAAGTAGGGAAGTATGACATGAAAAGACTTTTTTCCCCTTCATCTTCCTCAGAAATGGACAGGTACCTGCTGGAGTTTCGGGGTGGGACATTCCCTCTGGCAGCCATTGGCTCTTATAAAGGAAGTGCTGGTGGAGGAGGCAGGAAGGGGCGGGACAGCAACAAACTGAGACGATCCAACACCAGCCCATGGAAGAAGGGAAGCCCTGCTTACGACTGGAGCTGTGGCGGTTCTTTCAGAGAGGGTAAGATGGCTGCTCTACCAGCGGTGATTCAACCTGAGGTCAGATCAGAAATTAGTTCCATTATTGGCAGAAATCTCAAATTCTATAAAAAAAAATCTATTTGGATGGTTAGATTAGTGAACTCACCCTCTCAAGTCAGGTATGAATGAGTTTAATACTTGTGATTGCAGGTTCACTGTCCAGCACTGATGTCAGCTTCATTGCCTATGGCAAGGTCCAGAGGTTTGTGCTCCTCCTATTTACTATTACTATCAGTAGCAGCAGTAACCCATGACTGTAGTAGTAGGACAAAGCAGCCAGTAGAGAGCAAAACAGTCTCACCTATGAGATTCAACCAAATAAACCAGATACTGTAATAATAAGCATGTACAATAACTGGATTATTTGGTGTGAAGTCAACTGCCCCTGTATTAACAGCTAAAGTATGACACTAAATCACATTTCTGTGTGTCTGCAGGGAGCCTGTAGGTCTGTCCGCTTTCTCTGACGACGAGACAGACTTGATCAGAGAGCTGCAGACCATGTGCTCCAGCAAGTCGGAGCCAGACATCAGCAAGGTACTCGCACACATACTGTGAACAGACACACAGACCTGAAACTGGATTCATGTAGTCTACTCTAATTGCCGATTTTCCGTTTAGACATATATCAAACAAAATCAGAAAACAGCCAGTTTCCTTTGTTTTCATATTGACTGCAGAACACACAGATCATCGGACGTCATGATGAGCATCACGTCTCTAGTACCGGGATTCTGGCAGCTGTGTAAAAGTAACACAGGATCGTCAGTTTGTCAGCTTTTTAAGCTTTTTAAGTGTAAATGGGCTTAAATCAAAATACCGGATGTTTTCTACGATCTCTGTGTAAAAGGGGCTACTATCTCTTGCTGTCCTCTAGCAAAATACAAGAAGCTCCTCCAAGCAGTCATTGCTGTTCAGAAGCCACACAGGTCTTAATTACACCTCCACTTCCAAACACTCTGGCTTTAGGTCACGTGTTTTGACTCATTCCTTTGTAATTCATCACTGTCACCCTTCCAAATATAGAATCCTTGTGTTGTCTGTGGCTTTGCACTGGCACAGGACTGACATTTAGCTTCAGCTTGCTCCTGTGCTGAGAGAGAGGACGAGAGAACGTTTGATCAGGCTGATTATGACCCTTGATTCTAGAGTTTTAAAAAATGTCTAATACAAGAAATTATTCTAGTTTAGTTACTCAGCATCTTCACAGGTGTGAACCTTTGAGACCTGCACTGACATGTGATAACTTAGCTCAAAGTATCTTGTTGTTACTCACTTTCAGTCGCTGTTGTTTACTTCCCACAGATGTCGAAGGCCAAAGAGGACTTGATCCTGTTCTCCAGCTCTCCCAGTGAAGCGTCGCCTCCTCGTAACGCCGAGCGGGAAACCGCCGTCCAGCAGCGACCACAGATGGTGAGCTGAACAAAAAAAAATAAAGTACAAATACATCAGTGGTTGTCAGCTCAGTGTCGAAATAAATAAACATGCTTTTGTTTTAGTAAAGTAGGACAAAGTTATACACAACTTTGGCAGTTTATTAGGTACATCAAGCTAATACTACTGCAGTTTAATAAGGTTTCCTGTACAGTATTATTTCATCCACCCCATTTATACCTACAGATGTACCTGTACAGTATTATTTCATCCACCCCAGTAACAGAAGCACCTCTCTGCAGAATGAACACATTACCGCTTCTTGTGCTACTGTTGGATTAGACTTGTTTTTAGCTTGGTGTACGTCGTAAACTGATAACTGAGTAGGTTTGAGTATCAAACACTCACTATGTGTAGGGAGTAAAATTTAAGCTGCATTAAAATATGAAATACATTTTCCAAACTGTTTTTGTATGGTTGCATCGTTTGACAAAACCTGCACCCCAGAATGTGTAAAACAACTGCACCCACACAGACACACTACAGTTCATTTCTTTTGTCTACAGCAGCCATTTGTTATTGCGATGTTACCTTCTACTAATCCCAACTATTGTCACTCCATCAGGTGACATAACTGAACCACAAACTGGTGACTCACAGTTTAAATGTACGTGTGATTGTGTGTTTTGGTTTTGCCTCCACACAACTAAAGCAGTGAATTTGTCCACTTTTAGCAGTTTGACGACTGCTGTGATGCCTGTGAGTTGTACAGCATCACTGTTTTAGTGTCAGGGCAAATTGATGGTATGATTCAGTTTTTAAAATAAATCTTTGAATTATTTGTTGTAATTATTTTTAATGACTATTATTGGACCTGGACATTTTTTCCTCAGACACTTCAGAACATGACAAGAAAAAACTACTCTACCAATAAACAGATTTTTCATTAACTTCATTATGTAATTGAAACAGTACATTAGACAAATCTACATGGCTAATTTAATGCCATTTTTTTCTTTTAAGTTCGCACTCAACAGCTTTTTAAAAAAAATTGAAATAGCTTTTTCAGTTCCTGGCCAGTTGTTTGATTTTGTACAGCACTCAGGATGAACTGAAATTGAAATCTGTCCCTCCAGAGGGGTTGGTGTGCTTCCTTTAAGCACTTGCCAGAACAAAGTTAAAGGCTCCATTTACTTCCACTGCTGCAGAAAAGATGGGCATTAACCCGTTACTTGATCCGTGAAAATAGCCTGTTTTAGATGACATTTACAGTCGGTACAGAAAGGTTTCAGACCCTTTCAGGTTTTTCACAGTCTACACACAAGACTCTACAATGATAAAGTGAAAACAGGTTTTGAACATTGATTAAAAATGAAATATCCCATTTACACCAGTATTCAGACCTTCATTTAGGACTTGGTTCAAGTACCTTTGGCAGCAGCCACAGCCTCAAGTCTTTTTAAGAATGAAGCTGCACGCTCAGCTCCTTTCTGCTGGACATTTCTTCCATTCTTCTTGGCAGAAGGTCAGCCAGGTTGGATGGGGAGCGGTGGTGCACGGCCATGTTCAGGTCTCTCCAGAGGCGTTCTGTTGGGTTCAGGTCCGGACTCTGGCTGGGCCACTCCTGTGTTTTCATGGCGGTGTGCTTCAGGTCTTGTTGAGATGTAGACCTTCACCTCAGCCTGAGATCCTGAGCACTCTGGGGAAGATGTTTATTCAGACTTGCTCTGTGTTTTTCTGCATCCATCCTTCCCTCTGTCCTGACGAGCCTCCCAGCCGCCACAGCCTGATGCTGCCACCACCATCTTTGACTGTAGGATGGTGTTAGTGAGGTGATGCTCAGTGCCTGGTTTTCTCCACACAGTGTTGGGAACTATGGCCAAATAGTTCCATCTTTATTTCATCAGACCAGAGGATTTTGCTTCTCATGGTCCGAGTCCTTCAAGTGCCCTTCAGTAAACTCCCAGGGAGGTGTCATGGGCCTTTTAGTGAGGAATGGCTTCTGGTTGGTGGAGTGCTGTGCTGAAGGCTGTCCTCCTGCAAGGTTCTCCCATCTCCAGAAAGGAGCTCTGGATCTCATTCATAGTGACCCTTGGGTTCTTGGTTACCAGTCTGACCAAGGCCCTTTGTCTCCGATTTCTCTGTTTGGCTGGGTGACCAGATCTATGAAGACTGGCGGTGGTTCTAGATCTCTTCCATATGCGGATGATGGAGACCACCGTGCTCTTGGGCGCTTTCAATGCTGCAGAATTTTTCTTATCCTTTCCCAGATGTTTAACACAATCCTGTCTTGAAGATCTGTGGATGGTTCTCTCGACCTCACGGCTTTGTTCTCACTCTGGCATACACCACCAACTGTGAGACCTTATGTAGACAGGCATGTGTCTTTCCTAATTATAGCCAGTGCATTAGATTAGGCACAGGTAGACTAATCAAGCTGTAAAAGCATCTCAATGGACACTGACAGGAGCAGGGTGCACCAGGTGTCATAAAGGGTCTGAATACTTGTGTAAATATTTCCTATTTTAAATAAATTTACAAACCACTCCAAAAGCCTGTTTTCACTTCGCCACGGGAGTATTGTGTGTATAATGAGGAAAAAAAAATTTAATCCACTTTAAGATGAGTCTGATGCATAAAATGTGGAAAGGGTCTGAATACTTCACAAACTGACTGTACATACATTTTTAGTGACTTCTTTTTTTTTTTTTACTGCTTAGCTTTATAACATTTAAGCTTATACACTGGACTTGAACTGCTTATATGTGAATAAAAACTGGGGGTGTTCTAAGACTTCTTACCAGGTGTGTGTAACACAGTACAGTCACTTTAAAACACACACACACACACACACACACACACACACACACACACACACACACACACAAAGGATAAAACTCTTACCTTCTGTGTAAAGCGAGGTTGGTGGTCAAACTTCAGACATCTTGTTTTTCTTTCCAGTGCGTCCCGGCCTCAGATCAGCCAATCAGCCTGAAAACAAACCAAACAAAGAATTAGTCAGTCTGGTAGGGGTGTGACTACGTCTACAGATCTAGAACTGAAGCTATTACTTCCCTGTCCTGTACATGTAGCTGGTTGGCCTGAGGTTCAGTAAGTGATAGAAATGACTCCAACTCACCAAACTCCCTGTTTTTTTCCTGCAGAGTGCTGGTCATCAATCCGGCCAGGCAGCCGTTCAGAGCAGTGACCGGCGTTCAGGCCCTCGTGCCAAATCTCAGCTTCCAGTCCCCAGCAGCAGGGGGCAGCAGACACGACACGGTGCTAGCAGCAGCAGCAGCAATAGCGGCAGTCCTATCCAAACCCAAACACCCCCTACTTGTAGCAGAACCACCCACAGCATTAGCAACAGAAAAAAGGCGGCCCCACCCAACAGCAGCAACAACAACTACTACCCCAACAACCACCAGTCACATGAGGACATCTGGATTCTTCACAGAGACCTGCATGACAACAAGTAGACCCCACCCCGCCCCACAGTCCTGCTGTGAATCTCCCTCCATGATGTAAAGACTAGGTACCTGACGACCTTTGACTTTTAGTATTTCTACTTATCTGTACTTGTTACACTGTACTACAGTTGTGTACGTGGGGACCATAGTTTTATTCTATTAGAGTATTTGAAGTTGGGCGGTTAAACAGAAGGTTTGCTATGAGTTTACGTGGGGAAAACGACAGAAGATAACGCAGCAGGTCTCTTCACTGTTGCCTTATTCCAGTGTATCAACCTGCTTGTTCTGGGACAGTGTTTAGTACACACTACAATGTAAAAATTTACCGAAATAAGATTAAATATTTAACTAGTGGAACTCAGTCCTGACACAGTATTTATGTATTTAAAGTGAGATACTGTACTACTTCTGGTATAAGGCCACTGAAGCATAACTGAAGGTACTTAGTGTTACTTTTTAGTGACAAGTTTTTGGATCAAAGAAAGAAACGAGCAGTTTTGTATTTTCTTTGTTGTTTTTGCTATTAAGTATTTTGAGATATTCAAGTGTTTTATCTTTAAATAGTCACAAGGTTGGTTTAAATACTGTTGAAATTAATCAGGGTTTTACCAAATATTTGTAAATAAGAATTAGTATGTTTAAATGCTCTATAGGTTGGTGTATGTGGTATGATGCTTGTACAGTGACAAAACTTTAAAGCAAAACTGGTGAAAAAAAAAAACCTTGTACAGTGTTTGTAAAATGAGTTTGGTTCTAAACCCGTCACTTGTTTCAAAGTGACGGGGATGTGGCAATAAGTAATAGAAGTGTATAAACACAGGATGTCCTCTGTCAACTGTAAGCCATAATAAATACTTTAAATGCCCATTTCCCCTGAGTCAGGTTCAATTTAACCCCAGCTGAGCCCTGTTGTGTAATTCACTTTTTGATTTCCATTATCACCGTGGTCTTCATATGTTTTTATTTTGAAGGACAAGTTTTATTTTAAGCGGACACTGTTTATAAAATATACATATATAAATATATCTATACATATGTACAGGAGAGATTTCTTATAAAGCCCTCAAAAGGCCCAAAAGATATTTATCTTGGTGCACAAGATGTGTGTTTTTGGCTTTTGGAGGGGAGGTCCACAGCACACGATCCTTACATGTTCAGGTTTTTGCCCCATTCTCTGTCAACCTGCTGAGCCTGTTGTCCAATTCAGTTTAAAATGTGTTTTCCATGAAGGCTCTTTATGGACCACCAACAGGAGATGTGACTAATTATCTCAACAGTGGTGACAAAATGTGCAAAACATTACTCCATGCTACATATTAATTGCAAACAGGTTCTGCAAATGCAACACATTCAAATAATTAAAGAGACTAGTTGTTGCACACTATTGTCCCAAAATAAAATTAATACATAAAATGAACGGTACAATGAACGGTAGCCCTGCGATGGATTGGCGACCTGTCCAGGGTGTACCCCGCCTTCGCCCAATTGCCGGCCGGGATTGGCTCCGGCCCCACCCGTGACCCCGCTCAGGGATTTAGCGGTAGAAAATGAATGAATGAATGAAAATGAACGGTGCTGCTCACAGCATTAGGTATCAAATCTTGCTTCCTCTTTGCGCATTTGATGGGCATTGAAATGATCAGACCGTGTACTGCACCATTTTGTGTTGGTACTCCTACAGTATGTACATGAGCATAGACCTCAGTCGTCACTTCTACTGTCCACACTGACCCTGAACGTTTCCACCTGGAACGCCACTACACTGCGAAAAATGAGGGCCAAAATACACAGCTCCAAAGAGAGAAATCTGTCTTAGACTAGAATTTTGAAAGATACCAACTCAGACCAGCTTAGTGGAACAGCTGAAGCTGCATTCGAGCCTCAGACAAACTGTGGTTTTGTATTTTGTCTGACATCTGATGACCGGGTCTTCCCGTGCGTTCTGGCAGCACTACACCCATGACAGTGATACAGAAATACTGTTTTAACACTCACCTGGATAAACTCAAACTATTCCTTCCTTATGAACAAGAAATAAAGCGCAACTTTCCTTTAACATTAACTGACACACACTGACTTTTAAGAAAAATGACAACCATAGTGAAAATTCTCAGGAGCTTTAGTTTTACTGAAACAAATTCATCTATACAGTTTTTGGACATCTGCGTCCCTTTCCTATGAATTAGGAACAGGTTTGCTCTTAATTTACACTCAAAGTCACAATAAGCATATCAAGGCCTTTCTCTGTGGTACCTTAAATTTCTGCACCACTGCTTTACAAAACTGCTAATTAAAGAAGCAACACACTCTTCCCTCAACCAAAGAATATAAAAATATGAGCCAAAATGGTTTCCATGTACTAATTAGTGAATGCTAAATGTTTGTACAGCAGTGGTTCTGTAACAACGCTTTCTCAGACAAATTGTAATTTTTGTATTGCTGAATTATTAATTTGTCTTTACAATTCATCAAGCACAGGAGACCAAACAGTAGAAAAAAAGCATACTTTGTTATCAAAGGTAAAAAAAAAAATCAACATTTACACTCACAATGTATGGAGGAACTGAAAAACGGTTGTACAGCATTTAATCATTCCACAGCTGTAAAAGCTGATGAGTACCTGGGCATGTTCTCTAAAGTGCATACAGATAAAAAAATAAGGGTATCTGAGTCATTAGTAGCATCATTCTTCCTATTGATGTGTGTGCTGACAACAGCAGAGTTACTGCACTGTCAGACTGACCGAAGATACTGAGGAAAAAAACTTGAACACAAAACACGAAGCCACTGAGGAAGTCTCCTGCTGAGTACAGCTGCACTTTGCCTTAATTCCCTTAAAGAACTGTTTCACAAAGCTCTGATCTCTCTTCATCTTCTTCATATGAATTATTCATTTTGAGTCCATTTTCATCCCATTAAAATCTGCACATACTGTAGCAGGTTTCCTACTATAGTGCACATCTGTCTGTGGACTGTGAGGCTGAACGTCTTTTCTGAATGAATATAAAATAGGAGTATGCATCTCTTTCTCTCACACGATTTGATACCTAACTTAATACATGGTCCACGATTACGTACAAAAACGATACTGCAGAATCTGTTAGGATACAGTACAATTCAGTGATTTCAATTTGATTCAGCAGATATTCGATCTTAATTTAGCTTTAATTTATTTGTCTGCCTGTGCTCCTGTGGTGTTTTAAAAGTCCCACAATTTGACCTTCTGTATCAAAACACTGGATCAAAGTCAGTTATGTCCGTGCTCGTGCGTGTGTTTGCCTGACTGGCCGGTTAGAGGCGAGTGTCATGGACTTCGTCCTCAGCCTCCTCTGGCAAAGATGAGATCTTGGTGGTCTGTGGCGCCACCCTCTTGCTGGAGTTGAGTCGATGGAGTGCTGGGAAGAGGCGGAGCCGATCGGCAGCGCTCATGGCCTGTTTCAGGTGACTTGTCTCATTCAGCAGTTTCTGGATGGAGTCATAGCTTTTCATGGAGCTGCCTTCGATCATCTGAACACACGGGAGGAGATGCTGGTTACATAGTTATTTGGGATTATTTTCCTGTGTTTTCTCTCAAAATAGGATGCTTCTAATAAAAAAAAAATAAAGATGGAAATTTGATCATAATTAGTAAAGGAAATATTTAGTAAATTTTAATGTTTTCCAGGCTATGTATTAAGTTTATAAACAACATTTTGTTTAAATTCTTAAAACCTGGAAAAGGTCACAACAATATAGGCTACTACAAAAAGGGATATTCTGCTACCTGGTGCAGTTTCCATAAATGGCTGCTGTGGCTGCATTTTAAAGACTCAGAGAAAAGAGGACATGTGCAAAACAACATATTGAGATAAGCTGCAGCTTTCCAAATTTTTACATAAAATGACAAGAGAATGACCGAAAGTTAAAAAAAAAAAACACTGGCTTTAATGAAGAAAGAAAAGTTGATGCCAAGTTCAGTTCAGGCAACTTGAAGCTACTTTTTTTTAACAAAGATTTTTTTTTGCATTCTTTGTCTTACAGAGTTCACAAGAGACAGGAAAGAAACAGATGAACTGAGATACAAGGTTCTTGGAGCTTCATCAAATACACTGCTGGTTACTGGCATTTATGTTTTTTTTCCCCTGAATGTAAAACTGTACAACGGTAGCAGCTTGAACCATTGGCCTCCCAGAAGAAACCAAAGCTTCTGAACCACTACAGTTCTAGTGCTGGAGGTTGCAGTGCTATGTTTTCCCACCCATTAGCATGGCCACTTTCCTCCATCTGCTTGTTCCAGCACAAACATCCAAACAAACAGCCACCACCCGACATAAGGGAATGGAGGTCAATTTATTATCTTTTGGTAAAAGTTGATCGGGTAAGGCAAAGCAGGCTGGGTAAATTGTATTAGCGTTTCCACCCTGGGCACAAAAATGTTGATGAAAATTTTTTTTGCACAAATGGTCAGACTTTAACAGTGACTGAATATCAGCAGAAATGATCAGCAAAGTCCAAATTCAACCCAAAACGTACCAGGAATGACTGGCACTCCAGCAGCGGCTCCACTCTGTGTTCCGATAGGATGACGGTGCAGCCTGAGAACGCCTGCTTCAGCGTCTTCCTCAGGACCTGTAAGGTTCTGCTCTCACACACACACACACACACACAATTGTAGGTCATCTGTCTGAACTGCTAACACATTAGCCTAGTGTTCTGCTCCCATTGAAGCTGATGTGAAAAAAAAGGCAGTGTTTGCCTCTGGTTAAACTAAATTCCTCATTATAAGCTTCATTTAGCATCATGACCCCCCTTCTGCACACATGGTTACACACACACATGCATAGAGCACTCCAGATTGGCCCCATATGCAATAACAGGCACATAACACACGTTGGACTTCGGCGACTGACGCTGCACTGACCTCACTTTTCAGGACACCACCACTAAAGGAAATACACTCAAACCCTTAATTATTTTCCGGTGTCATCTGTTTTTCAACATGCAGTATGAAATACTAATTTGTTAAAGCTCAAAATGTGCCTACATAAACAAAGCATACAACAAATACATGCAGACAGGAGGACTACCTGGTTCAGGTTCATTGCTCTTATTAATGTAGACACTCCTTATGGTGACATGAGACTGAACTACACGCAGGCCTTGTCGATCTCAGCCTCTCTACGAGTTTGTTTGTTGAAGTCTAAATATCAATATCTTAACTATTCATAACCTACAATAGCTACTGTTTTAGTCACTTGGGGGCAGCAGCACGCCTTTAACACTACACTGACATCACTGCCTTATACAGTGGATATGTTATAGTAGCAAACAAGGGCTCTATTTTGATTGATTGATCCGTCAATGTTCACGTAATGTCAGAAAACAATGTGTATCTGTTCTTTAGCTCTTGATTAAAGCTCTGTAGACACAGTAGCAGAGGTACATTTGGAATCTGTTTTGGGGCATAATATTTTTATGTGACAATATGATATTTTAATCAAATAGAAGTTACAAAACAGTGTCTCTATGTTTCCTGCCTCTCTTTACACTGCACAGTGTTTTAAGTCTTTTGTTTTTCAATCTGTCCACAACAAACTCTGATCAAAGAAAGTTTGCAAACAGCACTGTATGAAAAGCGTAGAAAGTCTGGTTATAGACACACAAACATCTCACATGATGTGAAAAACAAACATAATTATACAATAAAGTGGGTTTTGTCATTACTACTGACATGGAGTCAAGGTAAGCGGAGGGTTCGTCCAGCAGCAGGATGCGGGCCTTGCTGAGGATGGAGCGAGCGAGACACAGCAGCTGTTTGTGTCCGTTGCTCAACACGTTGCCGCCGTCCTCCAGCTGGAAGTCTAACTTGTCTGGAAACTGTTCGATCACAGACTTCAGACCCACCTGACGACACACAGAACATACTTTACCAAACCTGGAGGTCAGGCTCATTCACAGAGGGCTGCCTGTGAACGAGGCATCAAACCACAGATCGTCATCTTACAGGACAGTTTCTCTTCTACAGACCCTATGGCCTCACCTCTTCAGCTACCCTCCACAGCTCTTCATCGCTGTAACGTCCGTGTGGGTCCAGGTTCATCCGGAAAGTTCCAGTCAGAATAAATACTCTCTGTTAAAAATATCTCAGAGTGAATTAGAGAAGCTGACGTAAAATAAAAAAAGTCTAGATAATCACCTGGAAAATGATTCATTTGATTTCTACTATTCTGCTATGTTTCATTGAACAAATTGCTTACGTATGTGATTTAAAATACAATTTGGGCTTCATTCAGCTTGATTGAGTGACTTTCTGGTCTAATTCGGCTTGAGAGCAAAATAAATAGATTAAGTAATAAAGGAAACAACTCAAATGAAACAAATATTTGTAATTCTGTTAAGTAGTTTTTCCAGATTTTAGTCTACAATCCCAACATTTCTTTGCTGAAATTATGTTAATTTTAAACTGATGAATGAAACTGTACCAATCACAACAGAAAGATTCAGCTTCCTGCAAAAGGATTCAGTTTAAACTGAGAAAAATATCTTCACAATGGATGGTATTTCAAAAACAACCATCTGGCCCTCTAACCTGAAAATGAGTCATCAGATTTAAAAGTCTAACATACATTCAGAAGAAATGCTAATACCTTTAAAACAAGGTTTCTGATTATGATGACATACAAGTACTGTACACGACTGTCTGTAGTCTTGTGATCTGAATTAGTGCCTTCATCAGATATGTACCTGTGGCACCACCCCGAAGGCCTTTCTCCAGGTGTGTAGGGAGACGGAGCTCCAGGAGACGCCGTCGATGGAGATTTCTCCATCAGTGGAAGCGAGACGCAGCAGAGCAGACAGCAGGGTGCTCTTACCCGAACCTGTTCGACCCAGTAGACCTACCTAAACACACAACCAGGACAGAAACATTTTACTCTGCTTTGTTAACTCTTTCCACTGAGTGTGTTTTAATTATCAGTTCGTTAGACAGGGCTTAATTAACTCAGTCATCATTTTCTTCTCATTCCATATACAGTGTCCTTGTATGTAGGCTTGATCCCAATATAAGCATTTATTTATACTAAACCACATGTAGCACATACTGTCTGGCTACAAGTATTCTCATGACATTGTGAAATGAGTTGCTGCCTTGACATGTTTAGAAGTCTAGGTAAAAGCTCTCTGTCCTTTCTTCTGCAGCCTTGTAGTGACAATTAGTCCATTTATCAGGAGGCCATGGAGCAGCTAATGGGATGAGGCTAAGTGCTGACACTTACTATGCCCTGCTGTCCTCCAGGATTCATTATGAGGGGCTCATACCGACTAGAATTACTACAGGAGCAGAGAGAGAGCAGTCAAAGATTGCACCAAATCTCTCTTTCTACTGAAAGCTATTTGGCAACCAGCGATTAAGTTCTTCTACCCCAGTTTAATAGCACAAGGAATTTGAAATATAGGAAGGAAGATGACACAAGAACTTGCAGTTTATAATCCTACTGTTGATCATCATTTAGTTATTTACCACTAAAACTGCTCCTTTCCATTCTTGTAATTTCTAAGTTAATTAACTGCAACTAATTAACTTTACTGCATTAACAAATTTTTTCGGCCACAAGCATCACAGCCAAGTCTTCCTATCACTCAAGACTTACACTATGTCCACCCTCCACAGAGAAGGAGATTTCGCTGAGGACGGGGCGCCCAGTCTCTGTGTATTTGACAGTGAGGCCCTGAACATCCATCTGGCCACAGCTGGGCCAGAAGTCATGGGCATGAGGGTTGTCGATGACGAGGTCGGGCCCTCCTTTACCACCAGGTTTCCCCGGCAGAGCCTCCTCTGACGGCAGGTCAATGAATTTGAAGACTCGATCCACCGAACGCATCTGAAAGAAGTGCAGGAGCAAGAAACTGTGCATCACTTGGAGCTGCCAGTTCTAGTACAACTGACTACTGTTCTTCATTGTGATAAACAATTTTCAGTCAGATTTTGGGATATAAACCATAAACTGTCCAGTCACAGGCTGGTTTTTCTATAACCAATGGCCACCGCTGCTCCTGGCGTTCAAGGATAGAATTAGTCAGCAGCTTGTTTGTGTCCTGTTATACATGTTTCTGTAGTAAATATAATATTTAGACTGAAATATTCTAAATATTCTTCTCTCAGTATTTTACATTGTATGACAGTAAAAACCTTGCATTTTGAATTCTTCAGATTCACTGAATGATAATGTGTTTCTAAAATGGTTCAAGATTTAGATTTTTTTGCAGTTAAAGTAAAAAAAAAAAAAAGGACAATTGAACAACAATATTTGAAATAAGCATTCACAATCTAAAAACAGTGCTGCTTTCTTAGCTCATCAAAAGTTTACATACCTACAATTGATGACTGGATTGACTATATCTTTAAAATTGAATGCATAACCTCTTCTATTGGACTGCAGAAGGTTTTAAATCTATGGAATAGTTGGATCTTGTACATTCATCAGTGGTTTAATATAGATTTTAATTTTCCCCACCTTCTCTAAGTGAACTGACTATCATGAAGGGCCAACCCACCATTATATTTCAGTTTATTATTTTTATTTTAATGGATTTGGGTTCTTGTTTTAACAAGCTGACGAGGCCAAAATCCTGGCAACACTTGCAGTATAAACAACAATTTTATTTAGACCAACACGCCTTGGCTTGGAGCCTCATCAAGGACCCTGAAGTGACCACAAGCCAAAACGTGATGCGCCAACAATAAAGTTGCTGTATGCTGTTATTGGATCCTTGACCATTTCAGACAGTTTTCCCTTTTCCATTCACCAGGTGGCCAGAAATTCCTGTGCCACAATTTTAACACAAGGCATCAATAGTTGAGGCTTGTAAATCATAATACAATGACACATGCAGATGCATGGTTTTCTTACTCAAGCAATGTTTTAACGAAAGCAGACACAACATACTTAAGCATGAGAAGACTATTTTAGAAGTTTGGTTTACTATTAACATCAATTACATGTTTTCAGAGGGAGTCACTGTAATGACTTTCTCACATTTAAATACTAAAAACAGTGCCAGCTCCCCCAAACACACACCGCCATCACTGCAAGTGTGTGTGTTCATGCAAGTTCAGAACAAAATGTCCTGCACTGAGATAAGCTTCAGCAGCTCCATTACCCAAAACGTGGAGGAAAACAATCACTGAATGGGTACAAACTGGTTCGGACGAGCCTCACACAGTCTTCACAAATGACTGCTGAGGTTCCTGAAATACACTAGGGAGTAGTAAAGCAACATCAGCTGTCACACAGAACAAAAAGGAGCAAGATGTTCCTCTACACCCTCGTTATCTGTGGTTTAAGATCTGCTTGACTGCTTTTCTGATGTGCACAAACCACAGTGAAATAGTGAATTGAAACACTGTAAAATAAACTGTAGCTTTACAGATGTCTCATGTATTTCTAAAATACATGAAAATGTTAAAATTATAAAAATATACTGTGAAATTACATGCCAAAATTAAATTACAGGAAAATCCTGTATCTGTAAATTACCATAAAGTTGCCATTTAAGAACTGCACTATAAGACTCGTGCTGGTGGGAGTGCTTGAATCTTCCGGGTTACACCCTCCTGTCTCACCAAGGTAGCACTCCAAAGGATAACAGCTGGAGTAGCAGTGACAAAACTGCAGAGGGCCACAGAGTAAAAAATGCAAGAAAAAATCCACTAAATTAAAACTTCTGAACTGCATGTTCTATAGGAAAGGCGCTTATAGCAGAAAGTCTGAATTAAGTTATGTTACGTTACATTTACTTGGCAGATGCTTTTGTCTGATGGGTGCATTAAAAGTCCATGTAAACAACAGCCAGTAATTGGAAGCACATCCCTCCCAAACAAACTACAAGCATGCTCACTCACACAGTACAAGCACTCAGACTTTTTTAAATGAATTTTAATAGAAATTAGACATAGCCAAGAGCTAGCAAAGCTCGTTGAGGTATAGCCTAAAAAGGGGAACTCTGATTCTGCAATGGAAGACGGGTAGTTATCCACAGTACAGGGTTTGCCCATGTTTTGGAGGAAGGATGTCTAATACCAGTCTTGAACTGCAGGAAAACCTCAACAGGCAGTCAGTGTAATGAATGGTTTAAGTGGAATGGTGTGGAAACATTTAGGAAGGCTGAAGACCAGATGAGCAGAAACAGTTGCTGCAGAGCTCTGGTTGCAGACACAAGTGTTAAAAAAGGTGTTTGTAACACTTAACATACTCTTGACTGGCCATTGGCTGTGTGGTATTTTAATGAAGGTCAGGGCTTAGTACTGTGATCCAACCAGTGAGACCTGTGTGTGTGACCACATACCAGTCCGTCTACAGTGATGCTGGTGATGACAGCCCATTGGAAAGTCCCCAGGATGAGCATGGCCAGGGCCACGATGATGCCAGTCTCCCCTGCTTTATCCCCTGCTTTATTCTCTGTACAGAGCACACACACACGCACACACACATCAGCACTGTCCAATACAATCTGCTTTCTGATGTCAGAGGAGCACTCAGATAATGCAGTGCTGCTACTGGCTCTGTTTGAAACTAATGAGCTGTGAAATGGCCCTTTAATTTACTCTCAACACAAACACATGGTACGACACAAACAACGTGTCTGTGCGTGCATGTACTTTTGTTTCCCTAGTTATTTAATTCAGTGAACACATGCTTCCTTTTGTACATGACATTTTATCTGGTTGCATTCCAATGTTTTGATCAGCTTTCCCAGACAAACCGTTCTGTTATGACCCTGATATCTGACTCTACACACTGTTACTCACAGATAAGTCTGAGGCTTCTGCACTTGATAGGCCCGGTGGAAATAATGAGGTGTTGACTAACTAACCAACCTACTGGAATTTCAATATGTTGCTTCCTCACATTTTCAGCTGTGCAAACCTACCTCATCTCAACCCAAACAAAACAACTGATAAAGCACTATTATTTTCCTATAGTAGGTCTGCATTACACATCAGCTCTCTGATTTATCATTTTGCAGCTCACACACAGAAGAACTGCTCTGCTAATAGGGACCAGTGGGAGTAGCAACCTGTGCTCAGTCCTGAGATCTACCGTACATCCACACTTGCAACCCTCTATGCATCTACTGTACCTACAGTTGACTTATCACTCACGGTTGGTTCCGACAGCGATGAAGGCAGCAGCGGTGAAGAACAAGACAAATATCATGTCGCACCGGAAAAGGAACCAACGCAGAGTGGCCAGGTAGTGGAACCACGTGGCTGTGTGAGTGTTCAGCGCCTTGTGGAAGAGCATCTCGAAGTAGGTTTGGCGCCCAAATGCCCGAATTGTCCATAAACCCTTCAGCGAGATGATGAGGTGGGAGAAGATGGGACTACGAGCTGCAGGACAGGGCAGAGAGCTGTAAAGTTTTAACACATTCAGTTTAAAAAGGTTTTTTTGCAAGCTGCTACTTTAGTTGGAATACAAGAGAGAAAGAACAAGTGAGGAAAATGTGGCTGGGATCAGAGATAATGAAAGATACTGTATGTGAGAGCGATGAAAGATAAAGAACAGAAGTAAAAGCATTTTGGCACAAATTTTGTTGCTATGATAGACAGTCAGGTGGAAGAAAGAAAACTTAGACAAAAACTTGAGTGAAGCATCAACAGAAAGAGTCAATAAGGAGCAACACATTTCAGTGTCCAAAAGCATTTCCCCTGTATGTTTCACTGCGTATAAACTGAGACTGTCATATGTTTTCCTATGTAAAGAAAGACATCTCAATGTGAGAAAGGAAACCTCTTTCTAATTTGGCATCATTTTCATGTTTTAAGTGCATACTCTACATTTTAATGAAGATGCTGTTACTTTCCTTTTAAATACCCTGTAGCAACAATAATTCTGTTTAGTCAACACACTCTCTCTGAGTAGCAAACAGAACAATGCTAGCAATAAGCAAAAATGTTATAATAAACATTTGAGTGAACAATACACATAATTTCCACGGTATTTTGCCTGGCATGCTGCTTGTGACTGCAGAGGGAGCAACACCAGGATAGGGTTGAAGGAAATCCCAGCTCGGCTCATCTCTCTGACCCCGACGTGGTCTCAGCGGCTCCGGAAAGACCTCGCTGTCATCACCGAAACACACATTCAGTGACAGAGTCGAGAGCAGAGCAGGGAAGTTCAAAAAACACAGAGCGGCATCTTCGTCAGCAGTCCAGTGAACTGTTTTGCTGGTTTTCTGGAGCCCAACCAAGCGCGACTTCCAAAGCTTCCCAGATACTGTAGCCGACCTAGCAGTAGTGAAGGTGTCTGCTATGGGTCTGATGGTTCAACAATCCTACCTGTTATTTCTAAGTGTGTAACATCTCTCAACAGTCAGGTCAAAATTGATATGTAGAGCCCAATGCCACAAACCAGCTCGGCTCATCTCTCTGACCCCGACGTGGTCTCAGCGGCTCCGGAAAGACCTCGCTGTCATCACCGAAACACACATTCAGTGACAGAGTCGAGAGCAGAGCAGGGAAGTTCAAAAAACACAGAGCGGCATCTTCGTCAGCAGTCCAGTGAACTGTTTTGCTGGTTTTCTGGAGCCCAACCAAGCGCGACTTCCAAAGCTTCCCAGATACTGTAGCCGACCTAGCAGTAGTGAAGGTGTCTGCTATGGGTCTGATGGTTCAACAATCCTACCTGTTATTTCTAAGTGTGTAACATCTCTCAACAGTCAGGTCAAAATTGATCTGTAGAGCCCAATGCCACAAAGGAAGAAATCTCAGGAAGAGCAACAGAGGAAGGATCCCGACGTGCAACAGCCCACAAAAACTTTATATAACTAACATTATTAAGTCAAACTGAAAATATTGTAAAACAAACATAAGACTTGTTAATACCCTCTAAGGCCTTTGGATACCCTGGACCTAGGACAGGATACAAACATTGATTTGGGTGGTTTGAACTATAGGAAAACTGGTCAAAGTGATTCCATGCTATTTACTTATTACTGCCACAACACTGTCAGTCTGGCACTTTCTGCAGCACACCATTTATTTATTACTCTGACTTGGGGACTATGCTTGGTCTCATAGTTAAAGAGATTGTCCTGCAAATGTACGCTCACAGACTGGAACCCAACAAGAGTCTTTAAAGAGCATCAGCTTAATGCATCAACAGTAACGCTGGTGTCAAAAGATGATCAAATCTTACCCTAACTACTCTCCTTATTGTTTTTCATTGCTGCACTGTTAAAATTCATTTCCTGTTCTACTAAAGCATCTGATGATTTATTTACTTTTAATAAATAAAGTAAAGACCCTCAATAAAAACTCAGATCATACTAAAAACAAACTATTGCCTCACATGTAAAAGCTTTTAGAAATATCTGAATTCTTTTCACGGGGATACCAAGAGTCAAGATTTTTTTATTTGCCATTTATGCATAAACAGACAGTCTAGGCATATAGGAATTCTTGTGCAGTTCTCCTTTGGAGTCACCAAACTTTGATAACTAGAGGATAACTGTTTAAATGTCCTGCCCCACTTCCTTTAACTGATCCAGCCCATCCATCCTCTCCTTCAACCCTGCCTTTGTCATGTTTTTGTTCTTCGGGGTGACCTGTGTCCCCTGGCCCTGAGCCATCTACCTCTGCCTGCAGACGGGCAGTTATAATGACTGTGGTGTCTGCTCCACCAGGACTCGCTTCCTCTTGCTTCCCCCCTCCATGCTATTGGTTCTCCTGTCATGTTTTTGATTTCACTCTTCTGAATATTTTTCCTTTCATCATTGTCCTCCTTAACTCCCACTCTCATTAATTCAACTAGACTAGAGGAGTAAACTCAGTGTTCCACCGCAATAGATGCACAGTATTGTAAGAAAGCTTTCTGATATTTGTATTTTAATGCAAAATATACTCTGTAAACCTAACTTTGATTGAAATTCAAGAATATAATTATATATACAGGTGTACTCTGAAATACAATTCTAAGCAGATTTTAAATATACAGCAGCTGCTGTACTGAACTGAATCTATTCGCTAAATAGCAATTTTATGTATTTTACTGAATGGTTTTTAATTTGCATATTGTAAATGTATAATTTCCTTTTATTTGAGCAGCTCAGTTTCCCTACTTGATACTCCACTTCCCATGCAACACTGTGATGCAAATCAGCACTTTGCTTGTCTTTGTTCAACAAGAGAGGAGGCATTAAACTGCATAGAAGCTACTGACAGAAACGTAAATCTGCACCCTGAATATACACACCCTTTAACAAACGCATTCATGCGGTAGTGTCCAGAGATACCGGCCCTGTATTTGCACTCTTGTGAGTTTGAATAAAACTCACCACAAATGTTTAAACCTAGACACTTGCACAGTTACACCATGCCCCCACCCCCAAAACTCTTACCTTCAGCCTCCAATAGTTTGAGTTGCTGCCCTGTTCGTAGGAAGTACTTCCTAAGGATAACAAATATGACACCCAGTGGGATCGCAGCGATGAAGATGTATGGTTTTATGATGGACACGGTGAAGATGGCACCCGTAACAATCAACGTCAGCTGGTGTGAGAGAAAAAACAGAAAGAAGAATGATCAGATCTGCGTGTGAAAACCCTGAGTGTGTACAAGTTAGCTAGTTGTACAACAAGTTGGTTTGAGAAGTACCTCATGTTGAAGCTATTATTAGTCACATAAGCTCATGGTTGTTCTTGATCAAACAAACAGTTCACCCTAGCTTCACATTCTCACTGTGCCTTCGTCTTTTTGAATGTTGAACTCTGAATGTGAATCGTGTGATGGCCCACTTCATGCTTGCAGCGGTCAGTACAAACATTCAGCAGAGCTGTGCCAAACAGTACGGCTGGATATTGATAAGATATTCCTGATTCAATTCAATTTGGTAAATGGTCTTATACTTGTATAGCGCTTTTCTATTCATTGCAGCACACTCAAAGCACTTTCACTATATTTGCCCATTCACCCATTTGCACTCCCAAGCGCGCACACACAGTCCAATGTCTTGCTCAAGGACACTTCAACATGTAGACTGGAGAAGCTTGGAAATGAACTGCCACCCTTCCAGTTAGGAGACACCCTGCTCTACCTCCTGAGCCACAAATTTGATTCATGAACATTCATGTATATCAAATAAGTCTGGAAACCTTTTCGGCATTCAACAAGTGAGCAGCACTTTTGTTTCCTAGAGTAAAAAAAAAAAATTTAAGTTCACATTATAGGTCCTAATATAAAGTCTTATTGTTTGTTGGAATACAGTGTTAGTTTATGTTATCCCACCTGCTTTGGTGGTTAAATAGGCTACCTGTACAAGGTCAAACACCACCAGAGGCAGCATGTCGTCTATGGTGGCCATGTCCTTGGTGAATCTGTTCATGATCCTGCCTGGAGTGGGGGGGGAGAAAAGCTCTAGTATTCTAATGAATGACTGCATTAATATGGCATTCAGTATGGTTCTTCAGGTAAACAAAAACTGGTGAATACAAAGATAATGTACAACACTGGTAAAATAAAGTTAGGCAATCACCTGTCTTCATAGTGTTGAGCACAGCCATGGGGGCTCGTAGCACAGCGCTAAGCATCTGCTCATGCAGTCTCTTGGACACAGTGAGTAATGTATGCACCAGTGGGAGACCCCTGAAGAATCCCAAAGCCAGCACGCTCTCTGATGTGGCCACATAGATGTACATGATGTAGTAAGCACTGCTCGATGTGGCTATTACTCCCCGATGGACAGGGGGCGACGTGAGGTTTGAGTGCTGCTCATTAATGTTTTGTGGTGAAGAGTTGGCACTATCTGACTGGATTTTGCTGGTAAAAAAGAACAAAGGATTGAGAATAAAACAGGAACTGTGGCCCAGCCAGTCAGGACACTTGTAAGAGAACAAATCAGATTCAGCACCAGTATAGCTCTTGATCTGTGGGGGGCAAATACTGCAACTGCAGACAGGACAGGGTTTCAGTACAGACTGCAACGTCGTCTTCTGTTGTCTGTAGTCTCAGGAACAAAAAACATGACACTTACTTAGTAATAAGGAAAACGCCAATGACTGAACCAGCAACCTTTTGGTAGAAAGAGAAAAATAATAGTTAATTAAATTCACATAAACACCCATAACCTTAAAAGCAGTAGAAATTTCACCTCAATGATGAAGACAAAGACAATGAAAATGAGAACGTAGACTAAGCTCCTATTGGTACTGATGTAGCGTAGGTAAGTACTCCATGATGTAGTTTCAAAGACCTTCTCATGTTCATCTGCAAAGCATTGCTGTAAAGAAACAGAAACATGCTCTTTTACCATATAGCCACAGCTATCACTAACTCCCCTATATGTCCAAAACTTTAATGATAAACTAAAGCACATTTAAAGGGTATTTTCACAAAATCTTGAAGAAAATGTTGAGAAATCTAAACATAAAAAAATGTGTATTATGCATTGAAAAACAGGTCTAACAAAGCCTTACCTCCATGTCTTCTTCACCCACTTCCTCACTAATGTCATAAACGCTGTCCTTGGACAGGCGACGGGCATAAATGTCGAGTTCAGAGGACAGATCACACTGCGGCTTGATGGACAGCTTTCTTCTGAAGGAAGACTGCATCTGTTCTCTGCGCTCTTGGCCCTGAGCGTTGGTGATGAAAGCCAGGACAGACTGGCGCCGCTGTCCGTTGAAATGCTGCAGTCCATGATGGTACAGGTTACTCCTGGGGAGCACCTCCTCTACTTGATCATCCTCTGGTACGACTGAGAATTTCCTCTCAGAAAGTTCATGAACCCCGTCCTCTGTCGTGGTGGTTTGTGGATTAGTCGCTGTCTGTTGGGAGCTGCCAGTAAAAGAGAACTTACGAGCAGCTGCCAGGGGACTAAGGATGAGTGACTGTTTGCGTTTTTCTGGGTAGCCATCACCTACAGGATGGCCTTGAGATCCAGAAACCACTATTGGAGTTGGGGGCTGGCGGAAAGACTGGCGAACTGGCTCTGGACCTCGGATGCTGGCGTTTTCATCGACGGAGACCCTGCGGAGAGTTTCTGTGAGAATTGAGCTGCGTCGCTGTGCTTTGATGTTGTCGTAAGCCTCGAGGCCAAGGAGGAGGGAGCTGAAGTCAGGACGCTGGCTCTGCAGCTCTGAGAAGGTGCCATAGAAGTAGCAGTCTCCATTGTGCAGGAGGAGAATCTTGTCTGCTACTTTGAGATGCTCCAACTTGCTGGTGACCACAACACGTGTTTTGGAGGCCATAAGTTTACAGAGGCATCTGTGTAGTGATACACAAAATGGAGATTGTGAAGAAAACTTTTTCTGTGGCTTCAGACTGTGTCACTTTTTGCCTTTATTGCACACCAAACCCATGAGACTATAGTGAGCACTTACTAACTTAAAGAAATCTTTGAAACCTAAAATGAGCTAAATGGGTTTAAAAAAAAAAAGAAATAGGATTGGGTCACTGTCTGCTGAACAGAGTGCTCATCACCTGGCTAATACAATCCCTACTGTAAAGCAGTTGTATAAAGTACTGTATATTAACGGTCTGAACAATTTTTTAAATGAGAGGTTTCAGTTTTTATATTTAATAAATCTGCAGTTTTCTTGTCATGGTTTATCGAGTATAGATTGATGGGGGGAAAAGACAATTTTATCCTTTGAAAATTAAATCTACAACACAGAGTGCAAAAGGTGAAGGGGTCAGAATACTCACATTACAAAAATCAGGAACAAAAGAGTGAGATCCCAATTCTTCAAAGAAAAACAGCCCGTAAATTTAACAAGCTACAGTACTGTACGTTTTATTAAAATAACTATGCTCAGGCAAATTGTTTATTCTGATTTTCCCCTTGAAAGATTGTCAAAGTCCATATTTTGTTGACTTACAAAAAAACTCCTGAGAAAGCTACAGTGATGGAGCTGCTGATAGATGCCCACAGTGAACCTGAGTGGGTCTTAGACAACAAGAGGTAACCTTGAACTTAAATCTTTAGCTCAAAAACCCCCACCACATAAAGGGCTCTCTGTTAGGAAACACACTTCTCAAAGATATCTTTCTCGGTCACAATGTCCAGGTGTGTGAAAGGTGCATCCAAGAGGTAGAGGTCAGCATCTTTATACACAGCCCTGAGGGACAAAACACACACAATCAGCAAGTCAAAAGGAAATAAAACAGACAACAACAAAACACTGCAAAAATGTGAAAATTCATGGCATATGCTGAGAAAAATGTTAAAGGGTAAGCCTGGTCATTTTCTATATTAATAGTATTTTCAGCAATCTCCATACAGAGACTAGAACCAATAATGAGTTGCCTCTACTCACGGTTAATGTCTGTCAATCCTGGATTATTTTGTCCGTCTGTGCGACAGATCTCTGTTGTTTTACAAAAACGATTAAAAACATCAGAGAAGCACACCGCTGCACTAGGTGACATGTTTTTTCATTACAAAAGCCCAGACTATGTTGCCCCAAAGGTTCTGAGCAGCCATAATTTCCTTAAATTAGCACAAGTCAGAGTCAAGTATACGTGCATGCGCTCTCTATGTTTACCTCCCGCTAGCTCCTCACACTTGGGTCTGGGATTTGCTAATGAAGAAAAAACATGTCACCCTGTACAGCAGTGTGCTTCCCTGATGTGCTTTTCATTGTTTCTGAACAACAATGGGGTTCGGTGGCACAAAAGAAGCAGCTGATCCAGGACATTAACTGTGAGCAGCGACAATTCATTGTCTGTTAAAGTCTCTGTATGGGGAGTGTTGAAAATACTGTTAATATAGAAAATAACCTGCATCATCCTTTAAGGAAAAAGAAAACAGAATATAAGGAAAAGAGCAACAGAGCAAGAGACAGAAAGACAAAGAGGAAAAGCTGTATATCTAAAGGGTGTAAATGAGGAAGTTATATTTACAGTAATGGCAAAAACAAAAAATCAAATGGTGGTTGTAAAAATTGATACCAGGACACTAAATCAATAAACAATACACTAAATAAGAGTGTGTCTGTCTGGCGTCATCTACTGCTGTAGAAAGCACTCGTCATTAAAGAGCATGACCATAAGTCACAAATCCTAAAGACATGAAATGTTATTTAGTAGATGTTTTTATTGGTTTAGAGCCTAGAACCCCTAGGCTACAAACCAAAGTGCTAATAAAGATAAAGATAATAATGATGACATTCACTAGGTTATGGCCCTGAAACAATGTTTTAAATGTATCTGTTGTTAAATACAGTGCACATGCATACTGCTAACACTGATAATAGTTATAGAAAATAACATGTTGGTTGACACTGTGGAGCAGATGATGGGGAGAAATTCCCATTTCTCTTTAAACCATAACCATCCACAGACTCTAATCAACAAATTAATCTCCAAAAAAATAAATAAATAAAAAAAAAAGTTTAAATCATGTTCTGTTTTTGTCCATTGCTATTCAAAATGGTCAAAAAAAAAGTCTGAACAAAGAAAAGACCATAGTCATAGCCAATCAGCACAGGTGAGATACTCAGGTTAGAGTGTGGATACCCAAACTGAGCCCACTGGGACCCGTCGGTACCCGGGTTCGGACAGAAATTTAGAAATTATGTTCAGCTCCAGATTGGACACAGACTTGTAGGTCAAACTTTAGACTAGATGGCTGGAGCACTCAAATGTCTGCTTTGTTCAATGGTAAGAGGAAAAACCCCGTACAAACTCAACCGCAGTGGGTTCGGACATTATATACTATACACCTTTCAGGTCAGGGTCAGGTTCGGATGCCACACACACTTGGATTGGGCCACATATTTCTGTCCTGACCCGACCCATGCTCTATCTTCGGTATGAGAGGAAGTACCTGGCCAGCCCAAGGCGAGCCCTTTGACCGCCGCTGAGGGTCACTCCTCCTTCCATCAGGAGTGTCTTGTCTTTGTCTGGCAGCAAGGCAAAGTCCTGGAGAGGAAAAAGGAAGGGTCAGCAGGTCAAATACAGGCACACACGGCCACCTTTTGTGCAACAGCAAGGGGAACTTTAGGTTACCAGAATGCTTGACAAAGGCAAAACATAAGTTCTTACAGGATTGAAAATGGTCCCCTTGTTTACATGATTTGTTTTATTGTATAACCTTTTTTCACAGTCATAACTTTTACCTGGTAATCAAAGCAAGCCATGTTCATATGATCACAGATTTATCCCCAAAGTTCAAACCACACAAAAACAACCAAACCACAGATGGGACAGACACATGAAGGACGCCACAAGTACACATGTACAGTGTGTTTGGTGTTAACTGATGCCCACACCAATAAGCATGAAGTCACAGCACAAGTTTGTATCTTCCTACCTTTTCAACGGCTGCTTCCGTTGTCCTGACGGGAGCGCATGGGGATCAAGTTAACAGGTTAACAGCTTGTAAAATAAGACAGCATAGTAAAAAGACATATTGTGTCTCGCTGGGACAAAAGGCACCTGCTGAGCTGGAGGTAAAAGATGAGTTTGCAGTGGGAAGACCACCCACAGCAGTCTGGTGCTTCAGAGGCAACAATAATGAGGAATTACAGTCACAAGCCTCATCTGTCTGGAGAAGTCTGCTCTAGTTGTCACTCCTTGCTTGTGCAGGGATGTTTCCTATAGCAGAAAATCCTGTGTGCACTCTCCTCATATTTTGTCATTTTTTAAGAAACAAAATGAAATTTTTCCTCTGAATATCTCTTATGTATTTAATCATGAGACAAGCTTAAATGTATGTTGTGAAATATTAGACTGCACCTTTAAATAAGAATATTTTACATGAAAAAAATAAGACGACTTGTTCAGACTGACAAAAAGGTGCTAATTAGAGATGGAAACACAGAATGTGTCTACTGCAGTGTCAGACTAATAAAGTACAAAACTTGGAAAAAAACAGCACTTTACTCAAAAAGCTCACCAGCACCGGTCTAGGGAGGAGTTGTGTTTTAACAGTTTGTCATCTTAGGTGCTACTTTAACAAACCTCTCTTTTCTTTGTTACTTTGTTATACTTTTATCTGGTTGTTTTAAAGTTTTCTTTACTTTTTAGCTTGTCTATGTAATGTTATGATCTAACGCTATGTCCCGACTACATGTGCCTAACATTTTATTGTCTTAACATTTCCACTTCGCCTACAATGACAAGTTTTATCGTTAATTCAGCTAACTCCTTTGTATAGGTTATGTGTTGTACTGTTATTGTAATGGCTATTTTAACATCTGGCCAAGTAACAGCTGTTGAGAATTAGCTTTTTGGATCACACCTTAAATTTGCTTGAATATTATCTTGATTACACACAGCTCCCACTTATTACATATTACATTGCCACTGTACCCATATTTATAATACAAAAACCAGCCTCTCGGGTCCTATATCAAAGAAAGGGCTATCCCCCACAAGAATACTTGTGTGTTTTAATAAGGCTGGTTCCCAGGATGCAAGCTAAATTTCCCATTTGTGTCTCTGGGATGAAGGGCTAGAAAAGCCTTTATATATTTTGACAAATAGCTATGACTCACTCCTCTTAACTGTTGGCCCTCTCCCAGTTTGGGGGTCAGAGCCCCCAGTGTTCCTATTACCACGGGGACCACTTGTGCCTTCACCTTCCACATCTTTTCTAGCTCTTCTTTCAGCCCTTGGTATTTCTTGAGCTTCTCGTGTTCCTTCTTCCTGATGTTGCTATCGCTTGGGATTGCTACATCTATCACTACGGCCTTCTTCTTCTGTTTGTCCACCACTACTATGTCCGGTTGGTTGGCCATTACCAGTTTGT